CCGGGCATGGTGACAGGCACCTGTAGTCCCAGCTACTCGGGAGGCTGAGGCAGAGAATTGCTTGAACCCGGGAGGCGGAGGTTGCAGTGAGCCGAGATGGAGCCACTGCACTCCAGCCTGGGTGACAGAGTGAGACTCCAACTCAAACAAAAAAAAAATTTCCATGAATTAAATTACCCCACTTCTTGTGGGATAAATGTCCAGTTGTAATGCGTACCTGTTATACACAGCAGGTACTCACTACAAATTTAAAATATGATACAAAATATGTTTATTGTTTTAATTATTATTACAGATTTCAAACAGCTGCCATTATTGTAAAACACATTCCCCACAACCAAGGGTAAGTTAGTGTCACAATGAGTCCAGTGTTCATCAGTGCCTAGCTCAGAACTAGACAGATCCTTGTAACTCGCAGTAGAATGGTGCTTCGTTCTGCTCTACAGACTACACGCATTGAAGAAACATCAGCTTGAAACAAACAAAAAGGAGGCGGACTTAATCAAAGCGGAGGACAGAGTGTAAAGAGTCACATGGTTAAGGGCCAACAATGAGAGGTGGGGAAGATGATGGATGTTTGAAAGGGAAATAAAAAGAAAAAAACTCGCCAGGCACAATGGCTCATGCCTGTTAAGTCCCAGCTACTTGAGAAGCTGAGGCAGGAGGATCGCTTGAGTCTAGGAGTTTAAGGACAGCCTGGCAACATAGTGAGACCCTTGTCTAAAAACAAAAACAAAAATAAAAACAAGGAATGAGAAAGGAGATATAAGGAAAGTAAAGGAAAGCTTGGGGAAGACATGTGTGAGTTGGGTCAGAGAGAAGGCAGTAAGAGAAATGAAGATTCCTCTGGGAGGAAAAGAAATTTTCCCTAAGACAATGACATTTCTGGTACATATAAGAGGTCAAGCTCATTTGAGTCTCTAAGAATAGGTTTTTCTGTAGAGTGCTGTCTTCTACCAGGAATGTACCTGTCAGTGGCAAATCCTGCTCTCTGCCATTGCTCTTCTCCTCCTTCCCTGCGGCCTGCTGTTGTGCAGCCAGGGCTGTGAGCTGGGCTGACTGCTTAATCAGGGAGACGCGGTAAAAGTAGTTCCTCCAGAACACTTCTTCCTTCACACTTTTAAAGAAAGACAGAACCAAAGCTTGGTTAACAAACAAACAAACAAAAAGACAGATTAGAACATGTGGAAAAAGGCAAAATTAAAAATGAATAAAAGCAGACAGACAAGAACACATTTGAGAATGCACACAGACAAGTGCACGCAAGGGTTACTTGTCATAGAGGGGACTGGAGTAGATGATTTGTAGGAGCACTTTCAAAGCTGAGTGAGGTTCACAGGGGGTTTGTATTGGCTTAAAATACTTTTTTTAAAAAATATTTTGAGACAGAGTCTCACTTTGTCACCCAGGCTGAAGTACAGTGGCACAGTCTCAGCTCACTGCAACCTCTGCCTCCTGGGTTCCAGTCAGTCTTGTGCCTCAGCCTCCTGAGTAGCTAGGATTACGGGTGCCCACTACCACACCTGGCTAATTTTTGTATTTGTATTTTTAGTAGACATGGGGTTTCTTTTTCTTTTTTTTTTTTTTGAAATGGAGTCGTGCTCTGTTGCCAGGCTGGAGTACAGTGGCACGATCTCAGCTCACTGCAACCTTCACCTCCCAGGTTCAAGCAATTCTGCTGCAGCCGCCTGAGTAGCTGGGATTACAGGCGCCTGTCACCATGCCCAGCTAATTTTTGTATTTTTAGTAGAGATGGGGTTTCATCATGTTGGCCAGGCTGGTCTCAAACTCCTGAGCTCAGGTGATCCGCCTGCCTCAGCTTCCCAAAGTGCTGGAATTACGGGCGTGAGCTGCCGTGCCCGGCCCATATTCATTTTAGAATTGAAAGCTAAACAACAGGATAAACAGAACAGCTATCTTCCCCATAGCAGCAAAATACAAGTTACAGAATGGGGAAAAATGAAACCATAGCATTTCTTGGTATCTTAATGGTACCAATACTGCTCTCAGTAGAAGAAAACAGGGCATTGCTGTGAAACTAGCATAATCAACCTGGGAGACCAGGACTCCACCAATCACTTGCTGTTTCTCAGAGGATTAAATGCTTTCCAGCAGTGAGAAGAAAGCATTGTGGCTTTTATTCCTTATGAAAGAGAGTGTTTGGCTGCTTGCGAATAATTTGTAACCAGTATGCGTTAGCAATGAAGTGGGAAATGCTTGATAAACAGATTGAAGTGCAGTTCGACCTGAAAACTCTCAGTGCTTCTCAAACTTGCTACCTATGAGAATCACCCGCTGTGATGTGTTGGTGCTCAAGTGGATCAGGTAAGTGTCCACACAGGGGTGACCTGGAATGGAGAGTGAGAACCAAGCAGGGAGAGAATGGTGTCTGAGCAGAGGAGTGAGTGGCAGCAAAAATGACAGACTGGTCACATGCATGGGAAATAAGTAAAAATATTAAAGATAGTGGAAACCAGGTTTCTCACCACCAGAGAAGAGAGTTACAAACATGGAAAGGGAGAAAATGAGAATGACCCCTGTCATTAGGTAGCACCATAAACACATGGTTTTCATTCCACACACACAAATGAGCAGACACACATTACCTGGCTGTGTCCACTGATAGCATGCAGAGCAGTGGCACCCCAATGCCAATGAGCATACCTAGCACCCAGATCTTGCTTTCTAAATACCAAATTTAGATTTTCCACTAAAAGGATCCAGAACTCCCTGGAAAAATGACTGATTCCAGCTGGGTGCAGTGGCTCACGCCTGTAATCCCAGAACTTTGGGAGGCCAAGGTGGGAGGATTGCCTGAGCTCAGGAGTTCAAAACCAGCCTAGGCAACACGGTGGAACCCTGTCTCTACTAAAATACAAAAAATTAGTCAGGCATGGCAGCGTGCACCTGTAGTCCCAGCTACTCAGGAGGATGAGGCAGGAGAACTGCTTGAACCTGGGAGGTGGAGATTGCAGTGAGCTGAGATCGCACAGTTGCACTACACTACACTCCAGCCTGGGCAAAAAAGAGAGACTCCATCTCAAAAAAAAAAAAAAGAAAAAAAGGGTTGATTCCAGGGTTAGAGCAGGGAAAGAACACTATCTTGTGCCAGAGAGCAAGGAAATGCGCTAAGAAATGATGCAGACGAGTTAGAAAGACACAGGTCAGCTGGAAGAGTCTCCCACTGGCCAAATTGGTAATATTTTTTTAAATTTTGAGACAGGGTCTCACTCTGTCACCCAGGCCAGAGTGCAGTGGGGTTAACATGGCTCACTGTAGCCTCGACCTCCCTGGCTCAGGTGATCTTCTGCCTCAGCCTCCCGAGTAGCTGAGACTATAGGCACAGGCCACCATGCCCGCCTAATTTTTTGTAGAGATGAGGTTTCACCATGTTGACCAGGTTAGTCTTGAACTCCTGGGCTCAAGTGATCCTCCCAACTCAGCCTCCCAAACTGCTGGGATTATAGGTATGAGCCACCCTGCCTGGCCTCAAATTGGTAATAATTTCAGCATCAAAATAAACAATAGCATCAGATTATAACCCACTGTATGAGTCTATACAAATATAAATACATGAATACATGGAAAGTCTGATGAACAGAATATTCAGTTTCAAAGTATTTCCCAGCAAAATGCTAATTACATTCAAAGAGGAAAAGAGTTAACTTTACAGTCAAGAAACCTGGCAAACACCACCTTCATCAAATGACCCAAGTATGAACAGTAATGGGACAAACGGCTGCATGTGCCACTAGACAGCCTGCAACAGACAGAAGGAGACTGATGAGACATGAAAACCAAATGTAACCTGTGAGTGTGAACTGGGCTCTTTTGCTAAAAAGGACATTATTGGGATGAATGGAAAAACCTCAATAGGGTCTGAGAATGAGATGGTAATAATATGACAATGATCATTTGCTGATTTGGATGGGCACACTGTAGTCATGTAGGAGAATGCTTATATAACACTATAGCATTTGGGAGTGATGGAACATCAAGGTTTCAAGTGATTTGGAGGAAAGTTCTTTATATTGTACCTCCAATTTTTCTGTAAGTTTGTGTTTCAGAATAATAGCAAAAATAATCCATTGATAACTGTGCTCACTTCAGAGCAACTAAATAAAAATCTTGAGGGTTGAATACAAAAAAACAAAAATAAATAAAAACGAAATGGGCCAGGCATCATGGCCTACATCTGTAATCCGAGTGCTTTGTGAGGCCAAGGCAGGAGGAATGCAAGGTCAGCAGTTTGAGACCAGCCTGGGCAATATGATGAAATCACATCTCTGCAAAAAATACAAAAATCAGCTGGATATGGTGGCATGTGCCAGTAGTCCCAGCTACTTGAGAGGCTGAGGCAGGAGAATCATTTGAACCCAGGAGACGGAGGTTGCAGGAGAACTGAACTCCAGCCAGCCTGGGCAACAGAGTGAGACTCTGTCCAAAAAAAAAAAAAAAATCAGTGAGAACTAGCGGAAAACAATGAGACTCAGGCTTGTGAATCTGGGCAGGGCTTGCCTTAGATGAGACATCAGAATGCAGTTGTCACATCTGTAAATGGTGAAGCTAGGCCTGGAAGCTAGCCTGTAAAAGATAGAGGCAAAATGCATGATTACAAGTGATGACAGGTAACAAGATGGAATTTGCTGCCAGACATAGCCCTACTTTTCTTTTATTAATGGCACCAACATTTACCGGTAGCATTATGGTGCCATGTGCATCAGGCACTATGCTAGGTGCCGGGGGAACAAGACAAGTTGTCTGCCATGACAGATGGTCACAGGAACAATAACCTCTCACTTGTTAAGTTCTTACTACATGCCAAGCAGCATTTCCCAAACTCATGTGGCCACGCAACTGTTGTAACATCTCTTAGAAGTAGTTTGGCAAGAAGGAGATTGGGCTTCATAGAAATTTGTAAGGGATTATAGTTGACCACGAGTTTAGCTTAGCAAACCACAGTATGTTGCAGCTGCTAAAAGAGCTCATGAAATCTTAGGCTGCATCAAAAATATACAAGATATGTTATGTTGTGCTCTCCACAATTAAGACAACACATTACATTCACTCCTGAGGACTCACTTTAGCGATGACACTGACAAACCAAAGGGTATTTACAGGCAAATCACCTAGATGGTGAGGGATTCTAGAGACTGACACCTGGGGGAACTAAGAACTGGGCCTGTTTGTCCTGGTAAGTTCTAGGGTCTCAAGCCATAACATTGGAGCCAAACAAAAGTGAAATTAGCCATCCCACGAGGTAGTGGGCTGTCTAAATATCTTCCAAATCACTTTGAAGTCTGAGCTCTGTGAAATGCCCCAAAATGAGACTTCAGTATTCTAGGTACCTATGATTGATTGTGGGCACTGTTTGCTGCCT